CAGAAAAAAAAAAAACGGGCATGCTAATATAATTGGACTCTTACAAAACATACATACTATGCACAGATAACAGACTTTGGCATTTCTTTGATTTTTGAGAGCTTTACTTAGAAATCTTAACATTATTTTAATGTTTTCGATGTAATTGATGTGAAGTTTAATTCACTAATATTTATTTTGTCAACAAATGTACTTTCAGGTTTGGTGCACGGTAAGTAGCTTCTTGAGTATCACTTAAAACAAGAAGAAACAGTCCTTGGGTGTACAAAGGTTGACTGGCTCAAAAATTTCAACTTATAATAGAGCTGCACAGTGAATTCATCAATTATTTTCCTCCTTTTCTTGGTTTTAGATTTAGCAACAAGAGAATGGTGCGGCCCATGTTTCAACCCACAGGCATTTGTCAAGGACAGAAAGGTCAGCAGACCAAAAACATCAGTTTTGTCTCTTTCAGTCTCAAATTAGGCTTTTAGTGTGCACAAAGGACAATTCTGTCTCTGTGTTACTGGTTTGGGAGTACTGCCAAAATCTTAATAGACCCTATTTTAATACAAAGACCTTCACATTCTGTGAAAATGTAGTAATTGCAATCACTGCAATAAGCAACCTACATGGGAACAGAAAGAAGATGAACAGAATCTAGTTTTAAAAACACACTTTTGGTACTGAAGTATTTTTACAACATAAATCGATACCAGAAGCACACAGTCTGCACTCACAGAAAGCTGCCCAGATCAGGAATAGTTCAGGCATTCTTGGGAACATGGAATTTTCAGTAAACTGGAACTCTCCCGCATTCTTTTCCAGAAACGCCAAGAAGCCTTTAATGTACTCTTAGGTCAGCCTCCAGGGACAGATGAAAAGAACTGAAAGTCTCAGCATGGAACAGCAGATGATATTCATCCCACTAAACATAAGCTGGAGTTTTACTTTCAGGATTTGAGTTTAAACTGAGATTTCTAACACAACAACTCATCATAATGATTGCAAACCTCCAGCTCCACTTATGGACACGTGTTCTCCATGAAGTACAGATTGCAGCCAAAACATTAATATGTAAATTCTAGATACTGTCACAGGGTTTCAATTCCCTGAAGACAAATACAGAACCAACAGGAGAGAGGGCAGAAAAAAAAAGCGGGGCTGAGGAAGCAAAAGAAAAAAAATAATATTTCTGATCATGCACGATTTAGGGCAGGAGCAATCCTTACAAGATGCTGGGAACAACCAATCATCACAGCTCAGATTTCCCCAGAACCTTGAATTCCTGACATTTTTGATAAAATGCTAATATATAGCATGCCTGTACAATGATGTGGTTAATTTTTCCCTAGTATTACCACACAGCTGGAGCAAGTATAAAACATTAGCTGTTCTCAAGTCTTAAGTACAGCAGTGTCAGTTCAGCATCTTGAGGTAGCTGCTGGATGCCTAGATTAGTTTTCTGGACACTGATAAGATTGAATTACACCATGTCTCCTCTCATATATTGGTGGAATAAATATAACCATACAAAGCCGATGATTAGGATAGAATAAATATTTCTTCATCTAAGTAAGATTTTGCAATGACCAGCTAAGATGCTTTCTTCTATTTCTTTCTGGGTTTTATATATATGCATATTTATGTGCATACAAACATACAAATTAACTTACTGTTGGATCCACTAGTGGAATAAAAGCATCAAATGAAATGACATTTCAAGACAGGACCACAGAAAAAAAAGGAAAAATAGACATACTAGCTCTCTAAGGTGCCACACTGCTGAGTGTGATCTATGAGGTTTAAAAGATACATACTATACAGTAAAATCATATTGTTTTAAAGACTATGAAAAGAGAGCTAAATTTTACTCCAAAATAGGACAGAAGCCATGTTAAAAAATATTCTATTTGCCAAATTACCACATTGTGACATCACATGTCAGTGTAAAGCTATTGTTAGCAAATGCTGACTGCTCTGTGATGATTCCTTCGTCCTTATGAAAAGGATCAATCATCTTTCAGGAATAAAATCTGGTAAATCTAACCAGAAACTGATGAAAAAATTTTGTCTTCAAACAAAAACTTCTGTAGATCAGTGTAATATTGAAATGGCAAATTATAACATAAAGAGCACACTTAAAAAGATAATGAGGAAAGTTTAAGCACGCACACAAACCTCCAAGCCTTCCAGCTCTGCATCTCCATAATGAGATTAACACAAGTCCTGTGGCTGCCATCTCCAATCATCACTCAGATTATCAACTGGACTACAGCCAAGGCTCTAATTGCTACACAGAAGCAAAGTCGCTATTACAATAAATTTATTTAATTTTGTGTGACAGCTTACAAGCTTTTCCCCACACAGCACTGGTTCTTATGGACAACTTTGCAGTCCTGTTACCTGTAACCGTTTCTTTTCTTGGAAAAGCTGGTTCCGTTTTGTGGCTGAAACCTGCATCCTCTCCTGGTAAACTGATCTCAAAAGCTTATGTTCTTTTTCGTGCCAAAGATGGGTTTCTTCATGCCTAACACTTCGAAAAAAACATGACAAAAATTAAAGATTAGTGTTATCGATGAGAATCAATCTCCCAAAGACTAAATAGATCAGAATGCTACATGTTACCTTTAGAGTCATAACACTCCATCACCAGAATGATTATATCTTAAACAGATACAGCTAGAGAACAAGAGAGGTTTTTTCCTTGGCGTATCTTCCTTTATTATCTCAAACATTTACACTGTTTTTACAACACGCTGAAGAAAGAAAATGGAACACTTGTATAGCTTCAGGCTTCCCCCAGCTTCTTCATATTTCAGAAATTTATCCATCACTGCCTCGAAAGAGACAAAACTAAGGCATGTAGTTTCTATCAATACAGAGAAAAATCTCTCTTCGACAGAAGTTTAGAAACTTGCCAAAGCCATTTTTGCAGCTTCTGTCAGCTTTTGGAGACTACATTAGAGATCATCTGGAGTGTCCGTTCCACGATGCCAAATTTCACTTTTCTCTCGCACAGCGAGTTCTTTCAAAATTTCAGTCAGTGGGTTTCCTAAGAGTGGTCTGTACAAGCCCCAGCTGTAAACCTTCACAAGGCTGGACCTCAAGATAATCAGTGCATTATGTTAAGCATCAATTCCATAATCAGCCTCTCAAAATGCACCTGCAAACAATGCAAATTATTTTGTCTTGCATGTTCTTGCACAAGGGCACGTGCACTTGCAAGGCCAATTGCATTTCTAGAGACAAGTGCATGCATTTCCACATAAAGGGTACAGATGCATTTCAGTATCTTGCTTAAAAAAAACTCTGTGTCTCCAGTAACAAAGGTTTTTGAAGCATGATTTCCCATTGTGATCTTGCAATGCAAATACATCCATGCCACATAGAAAACATGCATCACAAGTTTGGTTTAAGCATGATTGTTCACACTATTATGATTTCCATGCACAGCTGTTTAACAAGCGTGTAGAACAAGAGGTTCTCGTCTATTCTGCAGGACCATCAAAAGACATGCATGCTTTACTCCCTCTCTATGGGCTGAAGAATGTACTGAAAAAGCAAAATAAAACCTTGGCATGAAAATAAATACCGTTAAACAAAATAGACGGTGACCGTGTAACCGTATTTCTGTACTAGCAGCACAAATCAGAGATATCCCTATTGCGAGGTGCTAGGCCATCATTGTGTATGTGACTTCCAAGCATTACAGATTCCTGCAGCTCCAACCAACCACACTTCCCAGCAGCTCTGAAGTTGCCTGATTTAAGTCAGACCTGCACCTTTCCTAGAGAAATATGGAATAAATTTCCAAGTGGCTGATCAAAATTTAGGAAACACTGCATGATAAACATAGGTTATTCTCATAACCTTCTTGGAAATTCCATGTATATCTGCCTAGTTGGTACTGATGGAACAGAAATGAGATGCCTCTGATCTCACCAAACCTGGGTGATTGCACAAACAGTGTTGTTCTTAAGCTAAACATGAACAAATTTGGCTCCTAGCACCTGCCCCAAATATCCTGTGCCAACTTCAAATGCATTCACCTAAAAACTCATCCATAATTTAGTCAAGTAAAACAAAACTGAGGCATGAATTTCAGTTTCATATATTAAACAAATAACCTGCCATGTACATTTATCATTTTAGAATATTGCAACAAGATGAGACTGGCTTAACTACAGTAAAACTGCAATGTCCTTGTCTTATAGGATTAATCTGATCATCTTTTTAATTTTACAGGTAAAAAAAAAAAGAAAAAGGAAGTCTTGGGTATACTGATTTTGTTCCAATTCAAAATTAAAATCATAACTGAAGCCTACAAATTTCCCTTGAAGCAGCAGTCATATCTTCCACTGTGATATCCAAAAATACTGTTGGAACAGAAAAGTTTTAAACCCCTATATAGAAGACCACAGGTATGTTTGCCGTATCAACAAGAGAGTCAGACCAGAGATAAAGCAGTGTAGAAGGCTACAAGATTCAAGTGAGAAAAAGAAAGGGTGTCACAACAACAGTCAAACTCAAGCTCAAAGAAAGGAGTGTGCACAAGACAGAAGAGTGAAGAGGATATTCATCTGACCCTGAAGAATGGCACTGCTCTCAGACCTGTGCAAAGAGAAGAATTACAGATCTAATTATCTGAAAAACCAGAACACTTTCATAAATTTATATATTATAACCTGTATTTTGCATATAAAAACTTATTATATACATGTTATATAGGGAGGAAAAATAAGCAGACTGTGTATCTGAAGGATGCTTTAGTCACTCAATTTCTATGACACTGAAGACAACACCATCTTTACAGCCAAAATAATTATTACAAATTAATGCATAGAGCAAACACATCTTAATGACAAAATAAGAGAATGGCGTATCCCAATTTTTAAGGAATGGTAAAACAGCCTTAGAGGCTCAGAAGGTAGATGGAAACAGCTCTGAAAGAATGCAGTTTGTTTTAAACCTGCCTTATTACTAGATGCAATAAATAGAGCCTAACAAACTTCAAATTCTGATTTCGCAAAAATAAAATCCTATTAGCTGTACTGATTTTAGCTAATTTTCATGTCTGTCAAAAATTACACCCAAATGTATTGACTAGCACACTGCAGCCTTTATGTGTATGTACAGGCTGCCAGAAAACAAAAGGGTTTTCTTCTTTCATTTGTACTATCGCATTTGACAATACCTTTCAATACCTATAAAGCATCCTCTTACTTCTAACAACAGTAACTAGGAGCATAGCTGAAGAAAGACCTAGAAATAGAAACAACTTTCTCTTCCTAAGCTAACTATCTCCCTTGGGTCATCCAACACATCGAGCATTCCCCCAATCTTTGAAGCTGTTATCCCTTCAAGACAAGGCTGAGAATTTATTTTTGCGGCTTTGTACAGTGCTGAGCACAATACTGCCACCTAACAAATGGCACATAAAAGGAAGCTCCCAAAGATCTATTCATATCAGAAAAATAATCTGGTTTTACTTTATATTTAAATATGATTTCATTGCCTGAAAGGGAGCATCAGAATTAACTCCACGGGGAACCATTGCTCAAGCTGCGTTGCTGTTGTATGCTCAAGCTGCTGTGTCAAAGATTCAATCCCATTCCCACTCAACATCAGTGAGAAACATTCCATTTAATTCATCACAATCAATGTTTTTCAGGGCAATTCTGAAAGAATTGTTGAAAGAAAAAAGAAAGGGTGCAGGATGGGATTTTTCATAAACAAGCCCCATATTGATATGTTAGAAGGTCCTTATAACTGTTTATTAAAAATACTCGTAAATTGTGCTCAGCATTTCGAGAAAAACAGAAGGATAATTTTACACAATAAGGAAACAACAAACTTACCGATGATCAGCAGCCCAGTGCAATGCTGCCTGAACTTGAGCAATGAACCTGTCCAAAAAACTGCTAACTGAAGGATGCCTTGAGGGAAGCTGAAATTTGAAAGAATTTTTCTCTTTATCCAGTTCTTCCAGTTTCTGTCTAAATTTCTCAGCTAGAAATAAATTTAGTGGGGAAAAAAAAAAAAGAACAAAGAAAAGTTAAACAGTGACAAAAAGGTTCTGTTTTACCTGAAGAAGAAAAAAAAAAGTCCCTCAGCAAAAAGTAAAATCCATTTCACAGACAGTTCTTCTTCTTCCCCTTTTGATAAAATATATCAGTCTGTTTTGCTCAAGGATTAACAAGACTACAATAGGAAATATAAAAAACCCCAGCATGCTACTCCATTTTATTCTATGACAAGGACAAAACTGCAGGCTTCCTAGCACCCTCAGAATTTTAATTTGATAAGGCTCCAAAGAATTGGCTCAAAGTTATCATCCATGCTCTTTTCCCAGAGTAACAGCTGTGAATTGAGTTCTAGGAAAAGTGCTAGTCTTCACTGCTTAAGTTTGTCTTAGAAGTTAGATGGCAGTTACACACTTGAGTTCTGACCTTTTTAAAATTGTACTATCTTTAGTTCAAGAACTGCAGAATCACACATGATATTGCAGAAATACATTTCAGAAGAAAATGCTGAAAATTATAGCAATCAAACACTAATCACGTTCCATGCTCCCCTGAATTTTGCTTAGTTCATCATCCAACAAAAAATATTTACTTTCAGCTTTAAATGAAAATAACAGTGGCCTCTAAGAGATTGCTTTGATTCTACCATAACTCTATACTTTTCTTTGAGTAGCCACTTCTCTATGTAAGTCATTGCTTCTTTGGTTTTCGTCCCTGTGTAGAAAACAAAGGAACATCATTCCCATTCCTAATTATTATTTCTGGTACGTACATCTTCTATTGTGCCAGTATACCAGCAGTCACATGCATGACAGATAACAAGCCTGACTGCTCCAAGACAGAACAACTTTGATGATACATTAGTCAAATCAGAGACTTTTGAACTAACCTGCAAATGGAAAGCCTTTACAGTTCAGTACTTTCCTCGTGACCTCACTGCCTACAATTTTGTGCGATTAGCAATCCTTCTAACATTTCCATTACAATATGTTACTATCAGAATAACACCCATCTGTGCATGTTTTTTATTGCTTAGTTTCTTCCTTTATCCTCAAATGGGGGCTAAGAAGAAGAGCAGTTTACATTTGCTTGTTTAGTGCAATGATGCATTTTTACAACAATTTTTCATTAGTATTGATCTCCATTTTGCTTCTGTGCCAATACAGTGGTATAAAGACACAGAACTTTTTTATGAGATTTGAGCTTCTCCCTGGGCCAGCAAACTGTTCCAGGGACTTTGTTGTTATTATTAGGCTCTTGCTGAAATGGTCACACAACCCCACTCCAAGTTACAACCACATGCACACATGCACATATTCTTCCTGCAAAGGAAAAACAACTTTTCAGTAGCAGAGGTGAACGTCTGTGGTGCATTTCTCAGGGACCACAGCTGAACAGATTCATCCTATCCCTATCACCACAAGGAAACTGAAATATGGTCCCAGATGAGACTCCTCTTCCCATAGTTTGACCAGAAAAACGTATCAGTATTTGCATGCCACTTGGCATTTCAAACTCAACCATCAATAATACTACTGTTACAAACAGAAGAGCAAGGGTTGAGCAAGGCTTGGATTGTGACCAACTACCACTGCACACCACACAGAAACACCTCCTTTTACTCAAAGCATTCACCACTGGGCTTTCTGGGAGTTGTGGGAACCCTTTACAGCTATTTAACAATGTTGTCATTGTTCTTCAACATAACTATGCTCATACTGTGTTTGCATATCCAGTTGTTTCATCCTTCTACTCCTACCACCCATCCTGGCCCTAGAAACAGGCTATTTTGGGAAGAAAAACAGATGAGGGGATCCACATGCCAATCCATTCTCTCCCTCATTAATTCCTGGCAAAACTCTGCTTTGTATATTCCAGTCTACACAGTATTCAATTAGTTTCCACTAACAGATGTTTCTAAATAATTTGTTCCACTGGCATTTTATAAGTAATATGGCTGGTCATACCCACTTGCTACCTCTCTGCACTAAATGATTTTTTATCCTTTCAGTACTGCAGTTAAGGGTTATACCTCAAGACACCTCAGCACTGCTGAGCTGAACACTGCAGCAACATAGCTTTTAGGATCCTTTCCTGGAAAGGAGACCCCCACCATCTGACCTGGCTGTTATCTTCAGTGCATGGAGAGACACAAGAACCTCAGTGCCAGCTGCAAAGCAGGGAACTTTGCAAATAAGGCTCATCTCAGTCCAGCTTTCAGCACTGCAGCTCACAAGAAATCTGGATCAAGCAGAGCTAATGGAAACAACCATAACACTAGCAAAGAGAATGTGAAAAAGAGGGTGATAAGCAGCGTTCCTCGATCTAGTAGAGGAAGACTGAGGGGAGCAACTTCCCAGTACTATTACAAACCAAAGAAAACAGTAATACAATGCTTTTAGCCTTCCCTCAGAATTTCAGTCCTCACTAACAAGCCTGAATTGCAGCAAAGGAGATGAAGAAAAACATTAGGTACAGTAAAGCACTAAATCTAACTGCCAGGGTTAGACAAGAAATACTGAAGAGGGTTGGTTTTCAGGTCAGACAAACATCTCTCAGGAATAGCTGTAGTATAGTTTTTAAGGTTGAAGTTAGAAAAACCAAATGTGTTGTCTTGTTTTAACAAGGGCAAGTGTCGGATTCCGCACGTGGGATGGGGCAGCTCTGGCTGTATGTACAGACCAGGGAACCAGATGCTGGGGAGCAGCACCGTGGAAAGGGACTTGGAGGTCCTAGTCAGTGGCAAGTTGAATATGAGCCAACAGTGTGCCCTGGCAGCCAGGAGGGCCAACTACGTCCTGGGGTGCATCAGGCACAGTATTGCCAGTCAGTTGAGGGAGGCGATTGTCCTGCTCTACTCTGCACGGGTGCAGTCTCACCTCAAGTACTGTGTGTAGCTTGGGCACCACAATATAAAAGAAGATCTAAAGTTATTTAGAGAGCATCCAGAGGAGAGCAACAAAGATGGTGAATGGCCTTCAGGGAAAACTATACAAGAAGCGGCTGGGGACACTTGGTCTGCCCAGCCTGGAGTAGACTAAGAGGAGACCTCACAGCAGTCTACCACTTCCTCATGAAGGGAAGTGGAGGGGCAAGCACTAATTTCTTTTCTCTGATGACCAGTGAAAGGATGTCAGATAAAGGCATGAAGCTGTGCCAGGGGAAGTTTAATTTAGATATACAAAGAAGTAAGCCCAGAGAGTGGCTGGGCACGGGAAGAGCTCCCCAGGAAAGTGGCCATGGCATCAAGCCTGACAAAGTTCAAGAAGCATTTGGGCAACACTTTTGGGCACATGGTGTGATTCTTGGGGCTGTCCTATACAGGGCCAGAAGCTGGACTTCAATGATCCTTGTGGGTCCCTTCCAACTCAGAACATTCTGTGTGATCCCTCCCACCATCTTTTCTAGGATTTTTCAGCCAAGAAGCAGACACAGATGGCCTTTGCTGTTCCAAAGTCATCAGACTCAGTCACAGATTTCTTTTACTTTCATTTTAGTCTTTTAAGCATGTTATTCCACCACAGAAAAGAACTTCACAGAATCGAAGAACAGACTGATCAACTGAGACACCAAAAGAAACCACATGCACTCAAATACCTCCATTACTAAGAAAGGCTTAATACTTTGATGCTGTCCCGTATTTTCCTTCAAAATAAGTTATTTAATACACAGCTTACATGCAAAAAAGCAATCCCCCCATTTGATGAAGTTCTTAAATGAAGGAAATTTAATATATTCAATATGTTTTGTTTCACAGAAGCATTTAAAATGAGGCCTAATTCTCTTTATCAACCTTTTATTTCTGCTGCTAGCTTGCTGCCTTGCAGAGTCCTACAGATACCCCAAACTAAACTTCTACTTCAGTGCAAAAGGTAAAACTGAACCCTTGAATTACCCTCCATCACAATCTTACTGCCTAGTGAACTTCCGATATCCCACTCAATTTAAAGCCAATCTGTACTGGCCTGGAAGATGCTGACTAACTGCTGTTCTCAACTAAACAGACACTGTTTTGTCTCCAAAGATCATGTTTTGCAATAGCTTTGAGCAAAATAAGCTATTTCCATAATTTTTAATTGACCATGTGAGAACATCTGGCTACCTCTCTCTGTTTTACGTACTCTGATATTGGTTTTACTCCCTTGAAGACAAGACTCGCTTTATCAGAACTATTTATCATAATTTAAAAAACATTTGAGAAAAATATCTCAGTAATGATAGAACCTCATTTGCTACATACTGCATATATTTATGTTTATTTATGCCTGTGCTAATAGGGGGGAAGATGATCAGTCATGCTGTTCAACAAATTGCTGAGCATTAAAAAAAATGTTTCTTCAGCTAGTTCAACTAAGGAAGGTCATCTGATCCTGCCCCACGATTCACTAAACAACCTCATTCCTCTTTAAAATTCCTCCTAACAAGGCCCTAAAACAGGATTTGTGTAGGGTATGTAAATCACAGCCCTGAAACTTTTTTTTCTTGTCTTCTAGATACTTCCAAAGACAGGTACCTCCTCACCATTCACTTTCTTAAAACTTTAAAGCTTCCAAGATAACCAAACTGGCTTTGTATACTCAGCACCGAAGACAGTTACCTGTTCTGTAAGAAACAAGGAAGTCCAGGCCCTAAAACAGGATTTGTGTAGGGTATGTAAATCACAGCCCTGAAACTTTTTTTTCTTGTCTTCTAGATACTTCCAAAGACAGGTACCTCCTCACCATTCACTTTCTTAAAACTTTAAAGCTTCCAAGATAACCAAACTGGCTTTGTATACTCAGCACCGAAGACAGTTACCTGTTCTGTAAGAAACAAGGAAGTCCCAGGTTCAGCTCCAATGACTCCTCTAGCAGCCCGTGCCCAACCACACACAGTAGCAGGACTTGAGAGAGCAGACTAAGAACCAGGGTGCAAAGTGCCCTCATTCCTGTTCCTGTACCTTTAATGTCTGTCAGCTGAGAGACTTTCTAAGGAACACACTACTCA